CAAATTATGAGCAAAAGGTCCCTTTGTCTTTTGTTGAATGGAGCCCAATTTAGTTGTTTTGTGTCTTTTATAGTTTTTATGCCCCCAGCCTTTTGTTTCTCTTATAATTCTACTCAAAATTTTATAATTAAACGACTGGAATAGCTGTGGTTCTTTTTTTTTTTTTTTACAGAGTCAGTCATTTTGCTTTAACAATCAGGATCAGAAGACAATGAACGGAGGGGAGATAGTCATTATGAGGATTGGATCTGAACGCTGGCCTCCCACAAAGTAATTAGACAATAATGAATAGTTACAATGTAATTACTAGAACAAAAAACAGAAAGGGACGCCGCTTTTCAATTACCATCACGTACCATCGTTTCCCCTCAGCCTTTAGCTCGGTGCTGTAAGTAGCACTCAAATCATGTTTTTACCTAGATGAATGGTTCAGAGTGTTAAATAATGCATCGGTTATGGCTATTGAGAGCAGTGTGTGGGTCGCCCTCAGGCTTTTCTCACGCCATTGGCTTTGAGACGCCCAGCTGTCTACCTTAGCAGAAATGCTGCTGTTTTTTTTGTTTTGATCTTTCCACACATGGCGTGACACCAAAAAAGTCAATTTAAAAGCAAACTTTTCCACTACAGGTGGTAGAAAATTGATTGAATCTTTTGAGAAAGTTGCAAAACAAAGACAGACATCAGGACCTTTTTCTTAATTATCAAATATGAAAGGTGTGTCATCACCTCAGCTTTGTTGGTACCGCTACAAAGCAGAATCTGGTGCTGTTTTGAACTTAATTTCAATCATCCCAAAGAGTTATACATGACTTTGCAAGAAGAAGAAGAATCTCAGATCATCAAAAAACCAAGAATAAGTCATGGAGATGTTTTTCAGTTCGTCCGTGCTAATGTTAAAGAAGCGCCTCTCTGATGCGTCTTGGATTTGTTTACCCAGATGTGCTTCAAGGCAACATTGTAAGAGTGAAAGTTGCTGCACTTGTTACTTAATGAAAAGAAGTATTCAGCTGGACAGGCCATCAAGTACAGCCTCAAGGCATGATCATCTTTCCTGATTAGATCAGCCCTCTACCAGTGACGCACTCCTTCGTCTGTTGTCAAGGATACTGTGGCCTTTGAACATCTCGGTGAAGGATTCACGCAGCTGTAATACCCGCTACACCTCCAACTTTGACAGTTTTCAAAGTTTGCACTCAGATTTACTGCTTAGAGTTAAGACTGAAATGGCTTCAGAGCTTACCCAACAAGTTTCTATTTTCAGAGAAGAACATGGGAAGTGGCCAATTTTCTTTCCATCACCGCCATATAGGACATTATGCTAATGTGGCGTTTAAGGCGTCCTTTGAAGTGCAACACTTTCCCCCTGCAGCAAGCTATTTTTGGTTAACCTTTGACTGACTGGCAGATCCCACTGACGGGACTTTACCGTTAAAAATGAAATGACTGGAACAGCTGTTTGAACCTGTCTCAGACTTCCTCACCTTAAAGTTAACTAAATGTCAAAGAATTTATTCAACATACGACATTACAGGTATGACACCTTTCTGCTGCTTGTATTGCCGGTCCAGTTCTCAGACATCAAAGACCATGAAGCACATTTTGTCCGTGCAATATTATAATTTCTAATCTCAAGGCTTCGAATCTTACCTCTCTTAAAGTTATACGAGTCTCTTCAATTTTTATAGGGGAGCATGAGCTAGACGTCTGTCCGGTGTCTCGTATCAGCAGAGACAATAGAGCAAGATGGTGACATGGATGAGGAGAGGAGGTGTGCAGATGATGGAAAGTGGTTGATATGACCAATAAAAATGGTGGTGAACGGCCATAAATGACCACAATGATGATGTCACCTTGAGCAGAAATGTCATGCATCTCAGATTTACTTTCCTTTTAGAGAAAACGTGGAGGCATAAGACTGTAATTGTCAGTTATTTTGTTGAATGTCCGTCACAATTTTTGGATGTCTCAGTGTGTTAGTGGATAAGTGTTTAGTGCTTTGAATGTTTGTCCGTCAGCAAATCCGAGCTCATGGAAGTGGCAGTTTGAAAAGAGTCTAGGTATATTACTAATCCCATTCTCAGACTGCAAACATCAGCTGTGATGGGATAGACATACAGAGGAAACGAAAAACAGCACAAAAAAAGTCATAAAAGCTTAAGAAGGACCCCAAAGTTCATTAGGTGGTGATGTCACCCCTGAAGAAGTCACCTTCAGAGGTCAGTGGGGAAAGCGGTGACCTCATCAGAATGGGACAAGAGTGGACGGCGTGAAAGGGTTAAGTGTTATCTGGGGGGCTGTATCTGGATCTGCTCCGACGCCCTTGACTGAACCACTATGGTCCTTGTACCTGCATGACTGGTGATAAGGAGGATGACGCATCTGTGCTCTCTCAGCTCAGTCTTAGCAGTGACAGCCATTCGTCATGCAGACCGAGAACACTGTATCTGCCTCTTGCTCGGAAGTAAACAATTTGCCGAAACTGATTCTGATGATCGTTGAAATTGTTGAATTGAAAAATAAACGAGGGAACGGTATGAACTGCAGCAACCTTGTGGAAAGAAAAGATGACTCACATGTTCAAGGAACTCTCACAATGACTGTAGAAAATATACAATACAGTGAATAAGTATAGGCATTGAGTGTGTCCAATACTTGTCATTGTGAGGCTTAAGGCTGCAGACTTACAGAATAAGTAACCATCCCACAACATGTTGTTTAGTTACAGGAGTTTTTGTCCTGAGGTGGATTACAAAGAAGATACACTTGAGTTTTATGTTAAGTACAAGTACTATTCTTCACTTGCTAGCACATGTTTTCTAATGGAAGCATACTTTGAAGGGCTTGCTTGTTAGCCTAGCTTGCCAGCTTCTGCATTGAATTGGAAATACAATCTTACACCAAAACATGAAATGATCTAAAGGAGCGTGTGTCTTTAAATTGCTAATGTAACAGAAACTGCATTAAGTCTTAAAAAGGAGGGAAAAAGAACCCAAAGTACAAGGGCTAACAAGGATGGCATGTTATCATTGAGATGAAAAAAGTAGTCAAACCCTACCTTCAAAAACTTTAAATGTTTCCACAAGAAACATGCAAAATAGGGTCTTATCTTCTTTCAAAAACAGGAATATTCAACCTAAAATTTAAATAAATTATTTTTCAAATTTCTCATTATTTAACCAACACCTCAACCTCTTTCCGGAAGAAAGTGCTATGAGCGTCAAAACATATCCATAAAATTGTTCAATGACAACCTTTTCCTCCAAAAGAAATTCATCTGGATACTGCTGCTGTAAATTTTCCGCAGAAACACATTTGCTGTGGTAAATTAGCATAATTCCTAGCGTGACAGGTTTGCAATACCACCACTGCACTTTCCATTTATCTTCACTCGCACATCTCCAATACTCTTCCCTCCTCTTTCCATCCCCCCCGTCCCCTCAACCCCCGTCAAGAGTGGCCAGTTGGGCTGGTAGCTAATTTGAAGCTAATCAATACTCGTCTGTGTTTCTTCCTGTATGCGTCAGCCCAGTCCAGTGCCCTTGTCTAACTGCCGGCAGAGAGATGGGAGCATCTGTTTGGTGACTCTTACTCTTTGACTGTAAATCTATGGCAGTCACTAAACGCCACTCCAGCAACCATTGTACTGAGTGCAAAGCGCTATCTGATTGAATCCAAATGAGATTCATTTCCACGCAAAATCCAGTTGTCAAATATTTTTTGCGCAGACAAAAAGCCCTCACAGTAACTTGATTAACTGTAAGGATGGTGCTTTAACTCCTGATCAAGATTTCTGTATGTGGAAATGTGCGCATTTGGGGATTATGCTTCCATTATGTATACAAATTCCACTTTTTTTAATACAAATACAGAACACATTTTTACATAATATTTGGTATGTTTTTTACACAAAATATGACAATTAAGTTGATACAACTCTCTTATGTGTACACTAAAGGGGAAGCTAGGGCTAGCAGTTAGCTGAGTAACAACGGCGAGAAACAACTAGCTTAACGCTGTCAAAAAATAACAATTTCAGAACTATTATATTAACGGAATTTTAAGGTTTTGGAGAACATTTTTATTTTATATCTTTTCATTACGAAGGCTGACATTCAACATGTCTGTATAGATGAAATGAGGCAATAGTCCAACTTACATTAGCTTGGGGAAAAAAACTCAACAAAAAGAGGGGGAAACGCTAGCCTATGGGCTGACCCTGAGACCGCACACCTGAAATTTGTAGTAACAATTTCACAGTGGCGATTCCCCAGACACAAGATCTCACAGGAACACGGGTGTGTGTGAAATCCCGGATGAGAAAACGGCGCTTGCTGTGTTTGCTGCCATTTTTGTAAACTGTAGAAGTACGCAACATCTGGTGAAGCTTCCCGGTCTGCTCACTTTCAATGACTTTTGCCGATATTCCATCAGAGGCAGTACAATCTGAAAATGGTGATTAGGGAGGATCTGACTTGATCAGGAGAAGGTAGATGAATCATATTGACACCACACACTTGACAAATAACCGGTTGTGAAAAGACTTGAATTTCAAGTAGATTAGGTTATATGAGACATAAATCGAGAAAAAAAAAGCCCAATGCTTTTAAGAAGGGAGTGCACAAACTACTTCATACCAGCCCTTGCATAAATCAGTACCCCAGTCTGGATACCCCAAACAGAGAAGTCTGGACATTGCCCAGAAACTACACCACATAAACAAACCCACAAACGCACATGTAAGCTACATGTCTCTCCGTTGGCCTGCAAGCACCAACACTGATGTTCAGATACTGAATCTGCACAAGATAAGACCCAGTCCCCTCCCTCTTCTCCCGGCCCCCTTTCCTCCAGCAGCCAATGAGGAAGCTGTCTATTCATGATCCGGAGTAGGACCAGGCATGTGTAGACAGCCTGCCACAGGAGGAGGTGTGTCTCCATGAGCCAAAAGTGTGTGTGCGTATGAGTGTGTGCTCACATGAGAAGAGGAGGTGGTGGAGAAAAGAGAGAGTGTAGAGGGTGTATATAGGCATGCAAGTTAGAATCAAGGGAAGGAGTGACGGGAGAGAAGGAAGCAGAAGTCAGGTGCTTTTTCTTAGCACTGATACACTCCCCACAAACACACACAGATACACACACATTGAAGGAACTACTTCTACTGTAGCAGTGCACTGATACACACTCTGTGTGAGTGTGTTTCCTGCCCTTGCAGCGACAGAGGGGATCTCTGAGGATACACGGATGAGAAAGAGGTGTGGGGGAACGCAAGGAAGAGGAGCCCGAGTGTGTCTCGCCCCGGGGGGAGCTCATACACACGCCACAGACTGCACACACACTCCAGCGGGCTCTCAGGCACTGTTTCCCTGACAACTAGAATGGGCTGCAATTTGTGCACATTGCAGAAACGGGAGGAACACTACAAACTGCTGTATGAGATTGCACAGGTAAGTGAGACTTTTTGTAGGAGGTTTGATGCTGGGAAATAAGCTTAATGACAGCAAAGGAAGGCATGATGATGATGGAAGTAGGCTAATGACTTGGCAACTGAAAATAATTGGATCTCGTGGAACTGAGCAAGAGAGGGGATGTAGGGAAGAGTTACAGGAAGGTTTTTGGCAAAGTTAGCCTTTTTAAGAAAGACAGCAGACAGGTTGAAGATGGAAAGCAGGACAAAAATGGTAAAGGGACGAGAGGAAATGCAGGAAAAAATGAGTTACTTCCCAGCAGACAGGCAGAGAGCCAGCATGTGTATGTGTGTGTGTATGCGTGTATTCCTGGCTCCATCAAAGTGAGTGGAGCTAGTTATTTCTCTTCGGCAGCAGGAGATGTGAGAACAAGTTCAGCTCTTTTTCCCGCGCTGGCTCCAGGGGAATTCATCACATCTCCTCTGCCTGCGACTGTCTAGAAGCAACACAGTTCAAAGAACAAGACAGTAAAATGTTGTTCTGCTGTTTTGCTCCTCTGTTGTTCTTCACAACTGGACTTGTTTCTTTTTTTATCTGACTTTGACCTGATATGACACACTCTTGCTGACGAGCAATATTGAAAACATAGTGGGTCATACACTTTCGCCCTTAACATTTATGTGATATGCATGAATAGGCAGAACTGAAGCATAAACCATACATAGTGAATAATCATTTTAGATTCATCGTTTCACTATGAAAGCCTCACGCTCTCATTACTGCCTCCACGAGTGATCATATTACCATTTTGAGCAGTAAAATACTGTGAATATGTAACCTGTAATCTTGATGTGGGCTTGGCTGGAATGTGTTAATAAGATAGGAAGATAGGAAGTGTGAAGAAGTGTTGCTTTTCCAAAAAATAGAGAAATGCCAATCTTTAGAATTGTTGTTGGCTTCGGTAATCTGTAAGTGATATTTTCACAGTTTCAGTCTGTCAATGCAACCTTGAATGAAAGACAAACATGTGAAACATACAGTAGCAACTTTTTTTTTTTTTTTTTTACATCAGCAATATGGTTGTATGTGTGAAGCCGATTGTGGCGAAACACGTGCGCTGGGTTTCCTCTGTTGTGAAGTACAGTACAAGCGAATACAAGCCATGCCGCAGGAAGGGCTCATTCATCATTCAGTGCCTTACACTGTTACAGACACTGGATACAGCACCATGAGAATGAGCACTTCTGTTGACTACATTGGCTTGTACTTTAATAGTATACAAAACTAACAGTGTGAAGAAATGTCAAAAAAAAAGTTTATAATGTTAAAGTTCGTAATGTTTTGAGCGATAAGTATGAGAAATACTTCATCACTGTCCTGCTTTTCATTGCAGCTAGATCCTTTTATGAACATTATTCAGAGTGCTGCAGGCTCATTACACTAAATGTCTCCGTGCTTTAATGAGATGGCTGACGTCTGTGTTGTCTGCTTGAGTGGAATGCAAGAAAATGAACCACACCAGTTAAAGGAAACCCTGGGAGGTCATGGCTGCTCATGTGTTTTGTGGCGGAATCGGACAAACTGAGCGATTCCCCGTTTACCATCTACTATAGAAAGACATATAGTGACAAACTGAATTATAATGATGAATGTGTTTTTGATGAAACTAATAGAAATTAACTCGCTTCTGTTATGACAGTGGAGCAAGGAGGTAGATATCACTATTGTGAGTATAGTGTTAGCTAAAGCCAGTTGTTGGGAACAAAATCCATTTCCCAAAAAGCAAAAAAATATGGTTTGAAAAATATGTACAAAAATTTTACAAAATAACGAATTCCTTTTAACTTTAGCATGTGCCAGCGCGTATGCCGACATAGCTAAATTGTTGCTGGATGCAACAAAACAAAGACGTACATCATGAGACATAGCTAGCCTGACTAAATCAAAAGATAACAAAATCCGAGGCAACCTCCAGCGTTGACAAAAGAAGCTGTATATTTATCGCAAAAAAAAAACTGCGGTTCCTCAAGTGTCCTCCAAAATAAGGGAATCCTCATCAGAGCCCATATTTGCATGCCCATTTTTAAAAGCCGAAATAACATTAATGAAAAAACTTGTACTTTGAATCGTTTGGAATGTGCGAGCTGGACAAGTATTGAAAATAACCACGTCTTTCCCTTCTTCTAGATTAGCCAGAAATTAGTTTTCATTTTGGGATCTAGAATATAGGATTTCTCTAGATCCTATAGGAAGTGAGAAAGTGACATATTAACGTTACATAAGGGAATAGAACAGCTATATCTTAGGCAACTGTATTTTGGCTTAACATGTGCAGATGATTGTTTGATAAAGCATATTTGTATACAATTTGAAAAGAACTAAGATAAAAATGAGCCTTATGCCTTCCTCCCATTTTCCCATCACACTGTAGGTGTCCTGTCGCTTTGGCAGACATCCAAGAATATCCTCTGTGAGTGTGTGTGCGGTTTGTGTGTGTCGGGAGAGAACAAGAGAAAGAAAGAGAGAGAGGGTACACTAGCTCACTGTTAAATGCTCAATGGTGTGTATCTGACAGTCAGCGAACACCTACCGTTCTCATTACCGGTGCGAAAGAAAGAGGGTAAAGATAGAGAAAGAATGGGAAGGGGGACAGAAAGAGAGCTCACCAGGCAGTAAGTGTGTCAGCGTGACTTTGTCCCAAAACTGGTGGCTGAGGGGATTCTGCAAATCCAGAGAGACTCGTCGACAATCCCTCTGTCTTCTTCTCTCTTTTATCATTCCAGACTCATTGCGTCTTCTTTTGCTTTTTCAAAAAAACTCTCCTTCTACAAGTCCTTCATTAGTCTATCTCTCTTGGCAAACAGACACGACTACAGATTCTAAAAGTGTTTTTGTTCTGTTTCACTTCCAATGGTGCGACACAACAGGACACCACCTGCTCATTATAAAAGAAAGAAAAGCAAAGAATATTGATACAGCAGGGATATAACAGGAATACAATGGTACTAGACTTGAGAATTGGTCGCTCTGCTCCCAGTTGTCCTGAGTTTTGACCAAGTCGATTGCTTGTTAAACCAATGAGACATTTTAAGGACGAAAGAAAGTGACTTCCTGTTCGCATCTGTTTCTCTGCTGATCGAACTAAGAAAAAACATAGTCAAATGAATAAACTGATATCTTTGTAATCAGTTGTTGGCATAATAAATGAACGTCTTGAGGCTCTCTTGATGCTAGACTTGGTAGCGATGGCAACATTTTTATGGAAAATCTATACTTTTCAATGGAATTGATGAGCACAATCTATTCGGTTGATACAATTGCTTGCGATGGCACCACTGGTCACTTGATTATTTTTAATGGCCAGCAGGGAGGGGACTGCATTGGCTGCAAACACAAGTCCATTCATAAGAAACCAGATGAGAAAATGGCACACATTCTCCTCAGTAAACATTTTCTAACCAGTTAATGGTCCTTAACGGGAAACAGGTTTTTATGGATTGCATAAATATTGGACCCATTCAGAGAAAAATCCTGATAAAGCATGTTGCCATTTAGGGCTAGCTACCATTGACTGTAACATATTATTAAAGATGACTGTCAACCAGAATAGTGTCATAACACTTTGTATCCACACTGTCATCCAAATACGATCGCTGTAAACACCGAAAAACTAAATGGCGACAGCCAAAATGTGAAACTCAAGGCCTCTAAAGGCAGTTTCACTTCAAAGCAGAGCGACGCAAAGCATGCATTCACCGTAAACTCTGCTGGATTTCAACTCAACTTCAACTCTAAAAGTAGGGCTGGGAATCTTTGGGTGTCTCATGATTCAATTCGATTTTGATTTTTGGGCTCACGATTCGATTCAGAATTGATTCAAAACTATTCTGGATTCATGGATCCATAGATTCAAAGTCTAATCTTGAATTAGTACATAATTCAGGATCTACTCCAGTCATCTGTGAGACTTGCTGAATTTCTTGCTGCTCCATTTGGCATTCTACTTAGTTCAAGAGCTAGCGTTAGCACCTACCGATATTTGGAAGTTATGAATTGATTTAAAATCTGAGAAGCTTATAATCAATTTTCTTTCCCATCTCTATCTAGAAGTATCGGTTTGGTATTTATGGATACTCTGCTTAATCCCTACCAGCTGAAGTAGTTGACTCAGTAGTCCTGCCAGTATTTGTTATGTCACCAAGCATCAACAAAGACAAACTTCGTGTTCTCTTGTGACCTGGCATTTAGGACGTTTTTTTCCCCTTTCAAAATTGTTAAATGACTTTTGAGCTGAAACCCAAATGCATTGTAGCCAGTTCAGAGTCATGGTAGTAATTTCCCTCTATAAATGGATAGATGGTGTTTGGAACAGACCTGTTCAGCACCTTTCATTTTGAGAAAGTATCAGAGCATTTCAGAGGCCAATTACAGTTTTCAGCCTGCAGGCCTGCCTCAGCGTCTCCCCCATCACCGCCACCAGCACAGTGGCTATCTCTGTTCACACAGCTGCACTATTCTGACAGGACTGACCGACCCCAGCTGCCCAGTGGCCACTGAGAGATTTATGGCTCTCGTCAGACTATTTACATTCAACATTTCATTTGTGATATGTGTGTGTGTGTGTGTGTGTGTGTGTGTGTGTGTGTGTGTACATCTCTACAAACTCACACCTCAGGGCTCCATTCTAGTGGTAGCAATTGCTATTCCATGTATTTTGCTTTTGGCTGTGTTAAATTGTCTCCACAGCCTTCGGCCTCCAGCGTCTCACAAGCCTCATGTGTTTTGTCCTTTTAGTTGTACCAAATTCAGCATCATTGTATCTCACAACAATACCAGACTGCCCAAATTTACAGTACACAACTGTCACTACATACCCTGTGTCTGATTACCTGCTTGCAGATTGAGTTGTGAGGGTGTAATCCTGATTTATGGAAACGAATGTAAACAAAAGCGTGGTTTAGTCTGAACTGAACGCGGTTTAGAAAGATCCTGTTCCATTCATTAGCTAAGGTACTTAGACATTCACTCACACGTTGCTC